ATACATGGTGCCTTTTTGCATTATTCTGTGTTCATGTTTCTCTAAGGACCATCCACAAAATGGAAAAATAGAGCAGCCAGTCTACTTTGACATTAAAACTCAAGGCTGTAGAAAAACACTTTGGGTAATCCACGCTTCCACCATTTAGGAAATATTGAGCACTAAAACTTGGCAAAGGTTGTAACCCTTCCTTACTCCATCCAAATAAGAAAACAAAAAGATTTGGCCAACCAAACATACTGTACAATTTTCCTCTTCTTACAGTTGAGGCAATCCAATTATCCATACTCCTCAATATTTGAGACCCAACTGAGCCTAGGACTCCTGTGCTGCAAGGCTGGACCGCTAACTACATAACAACCCACATTAAAACAGTCCTTTTTTTGGGGGGGGGGGGGCACCCCCACATTGCATAATATAACTTTATATAATGGAAAAATGATACATGACAATATACTTACCAATACCAACAATGACGAAAGCTGCCACCCCGTTTAATATTCCAAGGTACTGTATCCCGAAGGCCACGTGGTAAAGGAAAAGAGCCACAAGGCAGCTGAGGCCGATGCTGGCAATCCCAAAAAAGGACAGGAACACTGTAAAATATGGACACACCTTTATTATTGTTCATAGTTAAAATAATAACAGGACCAGACATTATGACAAATTATACTACAATGAACATCTGTACAAATCTAAAGAAAATCCATTAAGGCGCATGTGTCAAACACAAGGCCTGTGGGCTGAATCCACCAACAGGGCTGAATCCACCAACAGGGCTGAATCCACCAACAGGGCTGAATCCACCACCAGGGCTGAATCCACCACCAGGGCTGAATCCACCAACAGGGCTGAATCCACCACCAGGGCTGAATCCACCAACAGGGCTGAATCCACCACCAGGGCTGAATCCACCACCAGGGCTGAATCCACCACCAGGGCTTGCCAAGTGGCCCTCTCACCCAGTTTTGCAGCCAGACAGTGGCGGACCTCATCTGCCACCTCTGGCTCTCACCCTCTGCCCCCACTCGCCGCTGTCACTTATAAACACAGAAGGGTTCTGTGTATACAAGGCTTAACCACTTGCCCTCCAAAGGATTTACCCCCCTTCCTGACCAGGCCATTTTTTGTGATACGGCGGTGCTTTACTTTAAATGACAATTACGTGGTCATGCAACATTGCAAATGAAATTTATGTTCTTTTTTTCCCATGAGTTGAGCTTTCTTTCGGTGGTACTTGATCACCTCTGCGTTTTTTATTTTTTGCTCTATAAACAAAAAAAGACCAAAAATAAAAAAAATAAAAAAAAAATAAAACAATATTTTTGACTTTTTGCTAAAAAACATGACCAGTAAAAAAATGTAATTTCATTTAGGTCAAAATGTATTTTGTGACATGTCTTTGCTAAAAAAAAATCCCAATACATGTAAATGAATTGGTTTACGTGAAAGTTATAGCATTTACAAATAGCGGTGTATATATTGGATTTTTTTATACTAGTGACAGTGGTGATCAGCGACTTATAGCAGGACTGCAGCAGACATTCTAACACTGGAGGGAACTGACTAACTGTCACTGACATCTCCCCATATAGAGCTTTCTTTCGGTGGTATTTGATCACCTCTGCGTTTTTTATTTTTTGCTCTATAAACAAAAACAGACCGACAATTAAAAAAAAAAAAACAATATTTTTTTGACTTTCTGCTATAAAACATAACCAGTAAAAAAAATTTAAAAACTCTAATTTCATCATAAATTTAGGCCAAAATGTATTCTGTGACATGTCTTTGCTAAAAAAAATCCTAATACGTGTAAATTAATTGGTTTACGTGAAAGTTATAGCATTTATAAATGGTGGTATATATATTGGATTTTTTTTTTTTTTTTATACTAGTAACAGTGGCGATCAGAGACATATAGCGAGACTGCAGAGGGCATTCTGACACTGGGGGGAACTGACTAACTGTCACTGACATCTCCACATATAGAGCTTTCCCACATATAGAGCTTTCTTTCGGTGGTATTTGATCACCTGTGCGTTTTTTAAATTTTGCTCTATAAACAAAAAAAGACCGACAATTTTGAAAAAAAAAAAAACAGTATTTTTAACTTTTTGCTATAAAACATGACCAGTAAAAAATCTAATTTCTTCATAAATTTAGGCCAAAATGTATTCTGCTACATGTATTTGCTAAAACAAAATCTCAATACGTGTAAATTAATTGGTTTACATTAAAGTTATAGTGTTTACAAATGGTGGTATATATATTGGATTTTTAGTAGCGGTGGTGATCAGCGACTTATAGCGGGACTATGGCGGGCATTCTGACACTGAGGGGAACTGACTAACTGTCACTGACATCCCCAGTGACACTAATACAGTGATCAGTGCTAATAAAAAGCACTGACGCTGTACTAATGACACTGGGCAGGAAGGGGTTAACATCTGGGGTGATCAAAGGGTTAACTGTGTGCTGTGTGTGCTTTACTCTGTAAGCATGCTGCTTTGTATTGCTCTGCTATGCAGAGCAATACAAAGCAGCATGCTAAAGCTGACAAGGGAGAGATATGTATTGTTTACATACAGAACTCTCGCCCGTCAGTGATACTTCGGTGATGGTGGACAATCTCCAGCCAGAACCTGGTGATCGACAGCTGCAGCCCCCAACGGCAGCGAGGGTAGGGCACGTGCGCACCCCTACCCGGAAATACAAAATCACGTATATATACATGATTTTGTGCAGCCCTGCCGCCTTGTAGCAGCAGTTCTACTATAGGGCGGTCGGGAAGCGATTAAATGGAATAAACCCTCTTATTTTGGTGGGATTTTAAAGGCACAAAGACTGTATCAAAGTTTAGTGTGTATAAAAAGTTTAATCAATTTCTATTGTATAAAATATTAAAAAATCCTATAAATCCTCAAATATAGGCGGTTGTACATGCACATCAATCACAGATTATATACAAACACAAAGCGAGGTTCAAGTCATAATATTATTATTATTATTATTATTATTATACAGTATTTATAAAGCGCCAATAGTTCGCTCAGCGCTGTACATTACAAAGGGGGACAGAACATGTGACAGAACAATACCAATACAATGCAAAACATGAGGGGATCGAGGGCCCTGCTCTTTCGAGTTTATAATCTAGGAGGGAGGGGATGGTGGCACAGGAGGAGATAGCTGTGGGGGATGGAGTGGTAGGAAGAGTGGAGGAGGTCGGCAGGTTAGCAGGTGGTGGGGTAGGCTTCCCTGAAGAGATGGATTTTCAGGGTGCGCCTAAAGGAGAGGAGAGTAGGTGATAATCTGATGGGTTGGGGCAGGGAGTTCCAGAGGATGGGTGACACCCTGGAGAAATCCTGGAGGTTGGCATGGGAGGAGGAGACCAGGGAACTAGAGAGAAGGAGGTCTTGTGAGGAGCGGAGTGTGCGTGTTGGGTGGTACTTGGATATTAGGTCGGTGATGTAGTTTGGGGCAGTATGGTGGACAGCTTTGTACGTCAGTGTTAGGATTTTGAATTTGATCCGTTGCGCAATCGGAAGCCAGTGGAGGGATTGGCAGAGGGGGGTGGTGGAGATGGAGTGGTTGGAAAGGTGAATGAGTCTGGCAGCCATATTCAGGATCGACTGAAGCGGGGATAGCCTGTGGCGAGGCAGGCCAGTGAGGAGGGAGTTGCAGTAGTCGAGTCGTGATATGATGAGGGAGTGGATGAGCTGTTTAGTGGTTTCTGGGGTTAGGAACGTGCGGATTTTGGCGATGTTGCGGAGGTGGAGTCTGCATGAGTTTGTTAAAGATTGGATTCGGGGATGGAAGGATAGGTTGGAGTCCAGAATAACACCAAGTTCTCTGGCCTGCGGGGCAGGTTTGATGGTGGCGCTGTTGGACATGATGGAGAAGTCAATGGGTGTCCGGGCTGGGGGGAAGACAAGAAACTCGGTTTTGGAGAGGTTCAGTTTAAGGAAGTGGAGCGACATCCAGTCTGAAATGTCGCTCAGTAGGTGTGTGATTCGGGCAGAGACTGAGGGGGTGAGGTGGGGGGTTGAGAGATAGATTTTGTGTCATCAGCATAGAGGTGGTAGTTGAAGCCGTGAGAGTGTATGAGTCGGCCAAGGGAGGAGGTGTAGATGGAGAAGAGAAGGGGCCCGAGGACAGAGCCTTGAGGGACCCCAACAGAGAAGGGCAGTGAGGGGGAGGTGGTAGCATTAATAGGACACTTGACGCATTTTGAGCCATCAAACAATCTCTTCTTCAGAAGTGCCTGAATAGGACAATGGACCCTGCATCAAATGATGAATGGAGAGAACCTCCACAGTTTTTTTTGCACAGAGAAACAAGGGACATCTTCAGAGAGCCAAAGTCGCATAACATCAAAGTTGTATGAAAGTCACATTGAAGTCGCACCAAGTGGCACGCAAGTTGCAGGACTTTCAAGTCGCAGCACTGTAAAACTTCCAGTGCAGTAAACATAAACCCATTGCTGGGGATGCAATGCTTAAAGTATACCTAAAGGCGAAACTTTTTTTTTTAGTTTTGGATGGAGTGGAGATGGTTTAGAACACCCTCTCTATTTAATTTTATCACCAGGAGTGAAAGGGAAAAAACATTTTTTAGGGTTGTCACCAGAACAGAATCTTCCAGTGGGCACACTAGTGACAATGGTGACAATCAGGTTTTTCCTGTCACTTCCTGTTTTGGTTATGGGACAGGAAGTGAAGGGAATTCTCCCCAATGGGACACAGAAAGCAAACAAACTTGGCAGGAGATATAACTCTCCCTTACTTTTTCCAAAAGGAAAAACAGTTTTGCCTTTTGTTCTACTTTATTACAACTAGCTGCTTATAACATGGCTTGGGCTCTGTAGAGACCTCTGGGTGAGGCAATGAGGCATTTTTAGGGAAGGGATTTTCTTTACCACATGGCTTACAGAATGACCATATATACATTTTTTTACAGGAAAATCCAGTTTTACCCCAAACCAATTTTCACACGGTACCTGAGAATGATGTGAGGATGTAAACGAGGAGAGCGATACAGCCCGTGCTGATGAACGCCAGTAGCATGTCATTGTTGAAGGTGGTCCGAACTTCGTAGTCAAACAGGTCGGTCCCCCCGTACAGCACCTGCACTTTACTTGGGAGAAAGAAAAAAAATACAATCATCAGAAATATTTAGGGACAAAAAGTTAACAATGTATGTAAATATAACAATGACAGGTAAACCTTCTGGACAATTTCATTCCCTCCTACACTATATTGCCAAAAGTATTGGGCCGCCTGCCTTTACACGCACATGAATTTTAATGGCATCCCAGTCTTAGTCCGTAGGGTTCAATATTGAGTTGGCCCCGCCCTTTGCAGCTATAACAGCTTCAACTCTTCTGGGAAGGCCGTCCACAAGGTTTAGGAGGGTGTCTATGGGAAGGTTTGACCATTCTTCCAGAAGAGCATTTGTGAGGTCAGGCACTGGTTTCAGACGAGAAGGCCTGGCTCACAGTCTCCGCTCTAATTCATCCCAAAGGTGTTCTGTTGGATTGAGGGCAGGCCAGTCAAGTTCCTCCACACCAAACTGGTTCATCCATGTCTTTATGGACCTTGCTTTGTGCACTGGTGGGCAGTCATGTTGGAACACGAAGGGGCCATCCCCAAACTCTTCCCATAAAGTTGGAAGCATGAAATTGTCCAAAATGTCTTGGTATGCTGACACCTTAAGAGTTCCCTTCACTGGAACTAGGGGGCCAAGCCCAACCCCTGAACAACAGCCCCACACCATAATCCCCTCTCCACCAAACTTTACACTTGGCACAGTGCAGTCAGGCAAGCTGAGTTGCTGTTGTTCCCAGTTGCTTCCACTTTGTTATAATCCCACTAACAGTTGAGCGTGGAATATTTAGTAGCCAGGAAATGTCACGGATGGACTTATTGCACAGGTGACAACCTATCACGGGACCACGCTTGGAGTCACTGAGCTCCTGAGAGCGACTCATTCTTTCACCAATCTTTGTAGAAGCAGTCTGCATGCCTAGGTGATGATTGTATACACCTGTGGCCATGGAGGTGATTGGAACACCTGAATCCAATGATTTGGAGGGCTGGCCCAATACTTTTGGCAATATAGTGTATCATTCCCTCATCCCTACATACAGTATATATTATATTACATTTTTGTTTCTTGGCTTTAGACCAGGGGTCTGTAAACTATGGCACGTGGACCAAATGTGGCCTGCTACAAGATTATTTTCTGTCCCACAGCTAGGATCAGTGGCGTATCCTTGATGTTGGCCTACTGTGCTTGCCACCAATCACATGCTTGCCCCAGCATTTACAGGAGGAAGAAACGTCCTCTGTTCAAACCTGCTCTGCCTCCAGGCTCCCACTCCACTGCTACAGTAAGGCTGCAAGTTTGTAAGGTAAGGTGGGACTTTTCTGGGGACTCTGATGGGGACCCTGATAGAAGGGGGGGGACTCTGATGTAAAGTCAGACTCTAGTGTTGAGTCTGATGTAAGGGGAAACTGTTATGGGAGCTCTTATGTAAGTGGGGTGGACCCTGAAATAAGAGAGGGACTTTGATGAAAATCTTGACGAAAGGAAAGGAAGGATTCTGATGTAAGGGTGGTCTCTGGTTTGCAGTCTGATGTAAGGGGGAACTCTGATGGGGAACCTGATGCAAGGTGGGGGGGTGGCTCTGATGTAAGAGAGGAACTCTGATGGGGTCCCTGTTGCAAGGGGGGTGGGACTCTGATGTGGACCCTGATGTAAGGGCAAGCCTTGATGTGGACTCTGATATTTTGGGGGGACTCTGATGCAGAAACTGATGTGGACTCTGATATTTAGGGGGATTCTGATGTAGACTCTGATGTGGACTTTTATGCAAACTCGAGTGTAAGGGGAAAATCAAATGGGGACCCTAATGTAAGGGATGTGTCACGGATCCCCCACACGCCACGCCCACAGCGACTAGCTAACCGAGGCGTGCAGCTGTGACTTGGGGGTAAGAGGAAATAAAGGGGACTTAACTTTGAATATATAAAACTGTATATAGGATCAACCATGATACCCTTTCACAGCCCACCACCAGATGGCGACTTCACTCCAATCCAGCTGGTCGACCACACACTGGCAGATACAAATCTTATATACAATCTGGTGCACTGATTAGAGTTGAGGACCAGCTTAGTAATTACACACCCTTATAAGGTCCCTCCAGCTACCTACAGCTTGAACCCCGGTGTTAATCACTCTTCCACTGTCCACACACCCCCCCGCACCAGACACACCACAAAAGGTAGCCTGCCACCACCCAACAGTTTATCCGCAGAACGGTCTGCTGGGACACCCCACACACACAGATCTCCGTCTGGCCGATCTGTTACCTTTTTCAATCTGCACGCAATCTGCCCACACACAGCGCAATTGCATACAGATTGGCAATGAGCTTGACCGAGCGTTTAAAGGCACTAAAATACGATACAATCTAATCCAATCCAATCTAATCTCTCTGAAGATATGAGCCCGTGCTTAAATACACAGAAGTCACTAATTAATTTTAAGCTTTAATTTCCCGAAAGTGGGCAGTGCATAAAATATGTACAAAATATAAAAAGTTACGGAAATACAAAAATACAAGAAGACACACAAATGACTATTCACTATAAAATAAAAGGGAATAAAAGACAGGTATAAAACTTTTACCAAGATCTATCCTGCGACTGGAGCAAGTCAGGGAGAAACAGCAATCCGTTGGTCGATCGAACCAGCTCCGTACGAATCACAAATGTCCCAATGCCCGGGTACTCCTTTTATGGGGATATGGACGTAGGCAGGACATTAGTCCTGGGACAATTGACCATGGGGGCTGCTCCTGTACCTGCCCACAGGATGTTCTGGATGCTAAACTGCCCAAGTTCAATTGGACTAAGACCGCCTTGAAACACCAAGTCGGGGATTGGATTTCCGACACCAGTGCATCAGTCCGATCGAGACAGTACCAAACACCATTTGACTGTTGCAATCCAGCTCCACCTAACCATTCCCTGCATTTTCCTGGCATTCTACCTACGCCACAAATATGGATTTTATATGCAGATGTAGCCCATATAGAAGGGAGTATATTCATCTCTCTGCAACTAATATTTTAGCTTTTATGAGAGATTAAACATACCCCTTTGATGGATGGATATACCTTTAGCTCCCTGCTGTCATGAAGCAGGAATGTCTAGAGCCACTTCCTTTAAACCGGTTTCACCAGAAGGTGACAACCTTAATAACACAAAGGTGTCACATCCCAGAAGCCGGGCTTTTCAGCCTAATTGATGCCTCTGTGTCTGAGTACCTCTGACTGAATATACATCCTTAATGACAATGGAATGCCCTTACATATTGCTACTGATCGCATCTTATCTACTCAAATCTGTACATTTACGTCACATGCACGTTACAGGGTGACTCTGATGTAAGGGCATACTCTGGTGTGGAGTCTGATGTAAGCGGGGACTCTGAAGTAATGGGGGGGAAATCTGATGTAAGAGAGGGACTCTGATGGGGAGTCTGATAGAAGGGGGGCAATCTGATGTAAGGGTGAACTCTGGTTTGAAGTCTGAGGTAAGGGGGAATTCTGATGGTGGTCCCTGATGTAGGGCGGCACTCTGGTGTGGAATCTGATATAAGGTAGGATTCTGATGTGAACCCTGATGTAAGGGGGAAACCTTATGTGGAATCTGATATAAGGGGACTCTGATGTAAGGGGAGGGGACTCTGATGTGGACCCTGATGTAAGAGACTCTGATATATGGGGAACCCTGATGTGGACTCTGATGTATACTCTGATGTAAGGGGGGGGGGAACAGGGGCGGACTGACAACTCATGGGGCCCCTGGGCAATAGGGGATCATGGGGCCCCTGTGTCCTCGCCCACACTCAAACCACACCCAAAAAAAAAACCTATGAAAGGTACCAGGGGCATCTCATGAGGCCCCCTACTGACCCCGGGCCCTCGGGCAGTGCCCGAGTTCCCAAATGGTCAGTCCGCCCCTGGGGGGAATCAGATGGGGACCCTGATGTAAAGGGGAGTCTTGATGTGGAATCTGATATGAGGGAGGACTCTGATGTGGACCCTGATGTGAGGGGGAAACCTGTTGTGGAATCAGATATTTGGGGGGACTCTGATGCCGATTCTGATGTAAGAGGGGAATCAAATGGGGACCCTGATGTAAGAGGTGACTCCAATGTAAGGGCATACTCTGGTGTGGATCTGATGTAAGGGGGGACTTTGATGTAAGGGATCTGAAGTAAGGGAGGGACTCTGATGGGGAATCTGAGTTAAGGGGGAAATCTGTTGCGGATCCTGATGTAAGACATGAACTCTGAAGGGGACCCTGATGTAGGGGGGGACTCTGATGTAAGGGAGGACTCTGATGTGTACCCTGTTGTAAGGGGGAACCCTGACGTGGAATCTGATATTAGGGGGGACTCTGATGTAGACTCTAAGGTAAGGGGGTAATCTGATGTGGACCCTGATGTAAGGGGAGACTCAGATATGGACTCTGATGTAAAGGGGGACTCTGATGGGGACTTTTTAAATAGTGGGGAAATTGGAATTTCTTTGCTTTGCTCTATGAAGTTCTTTCCCTGTTATGAACCATATCATGCTGATTTAAAAAAAAAAAAAAAGGAGCCCCAGTAAATCAAGCAAACTCTCTGAAATGGCCTTCTTACTGAAAACCTTGCAGATGCATGGTACAGTTAGCCAGCCCAGCCACTAGGGGGCAGTAAACAAAAGTCCCTCTGGAATTTTTCATGTTAGATTTATAATGCTGAAAAAAACCTCCTTTTATTATGGAGTTTTACTGCCACTTGTTAATGGCTCGTTACCATCTTCCTAATGGTTTAGGTTTGCAACTAATTTAATTTATGAGCTTGCTCATCGAACCGATTTCTTCAATAACGCTCTTCAAAGGCCGTGTTCCCATAAAGCTCCCTGTTTGAACAGCACTGGGCATAGCTCAATACATCAGCCGCATTATCCACACTGTTAATCAATTTAATTAATCATCCAGACCGGGCAGACAAAACGAGCCTTTCAGTTCTGCGGGTACCCAGATGAAATTATGAAGTATATTTATTAAGATTACAGA